CCCCTTCCCCTTCCTAGGGATTGGGAGTCGCAGGCCCAAGCCTCGATCCCCTGGCGTGTTTCCCGCCCGGTCCCGAAAGGCTTAGACCCTGTCGACGGATGGGACCTGAATGGAGTAAAGGACGATGGGACAATGGGGAGAGTCGCGCGCGTCGGAACCTGACGCTGCGGACTCTTGACGAGTATTACTCCGTACTGCTACTACTACTTCTACTGCTACTACTACTTCTACTACTACTTCTACTGCTACTGCTACTGCTACTGCTACTACTACTTACTACTACTACTTACTACTACTACTACTACTTATTACTTACTATTTACTTGTAAACTACGAGTATCAATGACTACTCGTACACTCTACTATGTAATAATAATAATATCGGTAATAGTAATGTTGCCAGTACAGACTGATGAATGGCTGCCAAGTTGTAATACTTCTCCCCCCCCCTAGGGGGGGGGGGGGGGGAGAGCAACATGTAACACACCAGGCACTGGTATCCCTGTCGCGTTGCGGGTCCCCCAGCCGACTCCTCCTCCTTCACACACTCTCTCCCTCCGTGTCTGTTATATGTACTGACTGCTGGACCTATCCGTCCATTATAATAAACTGCAAGTACCCTTACTCTCCCACTTCTGCTCCTCGTCAATTGCCGACCCACAACGGCTTGACCATGGCGTTCCAAGCTTACGACGTGCTACAGATACAGATACGTGCTCCGTATACGAGAGCACCTGAGGTAGTAGCAGCTGTATTAAAACTGGGAGTAGGCAGTAGCATGGAACGAGTATCACCCTTGTTGGCACGGGGCACAGCAATAATATAATAACTTGTATGTACATGGTCAGGTAAGAGAATCAGTAGGTTAGAGAAGTATGGACGTTACCAGACGCTGCTGTCCTTTATACGCATCTTACAGCCGCCTCGGGGACCTTTTCCTCCTTCCTCCTCCCCCCCCCCCCCCCCCCCCCCCCCCCCCCGCCTTCCTTCTTTTTCCCTCTTTATCTTCCTTCTACTTCCCTTTGTCTTCCTCTTCTTCCTCGTC